TCCTTGAAGAAGTGCTCAGTCTGATTTACCTAGGGCTTACAGGTTGGTTTGATTAAGTGCAATGTTTACATAATGCATGGGGAAGGCTGGTCTCCCCACCCTGATCTTGTTATACAAATGAATTCTCCTTTGCCAGTGCCATATTGGCTACTCCTTACAGTACACGTGGCTGGCAGAGAGGAGAAGATGGAGCCGCCATCTTGAGCATGTCTAGTCCCTAGTTCCTGCTGGCATTCATCAGTGCAAACTCCCAGCTTGCTTGTCTATGTCTGCAGCTCGACTTTACAGGCTGCTCTTTGTTAGAAAATGATTTGGGGCTGCTTTTCATTAAAAAGAAAAGCCTTACTGATGACTTCCCTACCCTTACTATTTGAATAAGTAATATCTTCTTAACTCCTGTATCACTATGAACCCTTTCTGGTTCTGGGGACTGCCTGATTCTCAAACTATTCTTTGCCCAAATAAAAAGATCACTCAAAGGACAATATGGGTCTCTACTATACAAAGGGTCTCCTTTGTTGCCTAGTTTACAATTGCTTAGGGCAATAAAATGGTAATTAAAAGATTAATAGTCTAAAAGGGGAAAATAAACAAAATTAAAACTGTTTATAAAAATGCAGATGCAACAATATTTTTTCTAAAATAGGACTAATGACCGACACTGATGTTGAAATGCTAACTACCAGGGAATTAGCTAAGCAGCCTTCCTCCTGAGATCTGATCTAAAACAAGTCAAAATCCTTGTAAGCTCAAGCTGCCTGATTTAGTTCCCTTGCAAGATTAACAGTAAAGGCTGCCCTCTCCTCATAGTCTAGTAGTAAGAATTGTATACTTTCACCACTGTGGCCTGGGTTTGATTTCTGGTCAGGCAGTCAGTCCCTCTTGATTTGATATTTGTGTGACTTTTTACTTTTTGCGGTACCCATTTGTTACTGATCCTTTTAACTTCTATGGACAGCTTTAGGTTTCTTGTCTTCTGTCTATGAGGGAGACATGAGGCTTTTGGACCTTTGTGTGTTGATGGTAAGCTGAGAAGCTGACACCTTAGAAAATATGGCCAGATAGAAATGTGGATTGTAATCCATTTGTGACTAGTGATCTTTCCTTTCTTGGAGTTGTAGTTTGGGGTGATTCTGGGTCTTGTGAAGACTGCTTTAGACCTCTTTGGAAGTGTCTCATGCATTCTTGGTTAAGTCAAAACCTTGGTTAAAGCTTATTCATTTCACTTGGGAGGGTACTTTTGGTAAAAATAAAACAAAGCAAAAGCCATAAATGTAGGCTATTCAAGCTAAAATCTGATAAGAGTTTTAAAAAGATTTTTTAAAAGAGCTCTATAGTCAAAAATTGACTTAGAACTGAATTTTAGGCTATGTATATATACACATACAAACATATGTGTGTGTGTCTGTGTGTGAAACTATACATATATAAAACTGTGTGTGTGTGTGTGTGTATATATCTATATATGCGTCTCTTTCCACTCTCTCTAAAACTTTTCAGTCTACTGAATTTCTGTCTTCCTAACTCCCTGTTAACCATATGCCCACATGCACTCTCTTTATCTGTTTCTTCATTTACTTCTGTTGGTCTTTCCTTCCTCTTGCCACCCTTGATACCACATGAGGAGACCATAAACATTTCTGACAGCCTGGGAACCCTTAAGGAAGACAGAAAAGGCACCAAAGACTCTATTCGTTTTTTGAAGAAACTTCTGTTTTACCTAATGAGTTCCCAATAATTTCAAATGGACAGATTCTTTTCAAGTCTAAAGCTGTACCCACATTTGCATTAAACTCCTTGATCTTTTTAGCTTTTAGATACATATATGTGTACATGTGTATATTTTGTGTCTACATATATATATATATGTATATGTGTGTGTCTACACATATACATATATATGTGTCTATACATATACTTATATATTGTCTATGCATGGTGCAAAAGTAACTTAAATTTAAATGAGTACTCATAAATTAAAAAGCCAGCCCAATACTTTATGAGTTCATGTGACTTTAGTAATTTTTGGTAAATAAAAATAAGTTTAAAATTGTTCATAAATAAAACAAAAACATATTCAAAACGTAATTTAGACATTTTTGCCAAAGCCTATTGGTCAGACAGGTTTAGGCTGTTTCTCTTTTATGTTTTAAGGTCATAAAACTATTGCTTCTGTCATACTTTTGGTACTTGCTTAATTTGTCTGAAAGTTAAAGCTGTAAGGGCTGACTCCTGGGTTCTTTGAAAGCCTTACGCACATCTTACTGTGAGCTTGTCTTTAATTTTAAACCTCCAAATTCTGGGATGTAGACAAATGACCCTGGTGAGGCCTGGGATCAACACCAAGGCCCCGTTTTCCCAGGCCCAGCTGTGTCTTGGCCATGCTCAGAGGGATTAGATGCCCCAGTATTGTCTCCACAAGCTCTGTTTTTTGTCCTGGACACTGCATCTGGTATTTAACAAAAGTTTATTTCCTAGGTTTTTCACTAAAATAAAAAGTTACTAAGACTTAACATTGTATTTAATATCTAATTAAAACTGCTAGATATAAGAGAAACAAGCCTATATACAGAATGTATAAAGAAAGTAAAATGTAAAGACAGTTGAAAAGAGAGTGTAAATTTTCTTTTACATGTCAGAGAACATTCTGTGGTCAAAATAGTAAGGGGGAAAGGAAAGGAAATTTTTGTCCTAAAAGTAAAATGACAGGACAAAACTAAAGGTTTAAGCAAGTTGTGGAAGGTTTGTGGAAAACTGATTTTTGTCAAAGGAATTTTTTGTGTAATCAAGTTGGTGAAAAAAGGGAATTATTTAGTTTTCCTAAAAATTGAACATTAATATCAAAAGCACACTGACGTAGGGCCAGAGTCTGGACCCCTGTGCTGGAATAACAGAGTTTTCTTGGGGCATTAACCTGATATTTAATAGAAAAATTGTAAGATATTATAAAAGGTTTATGGAAATCTTATCTTGTGTGGTCAAAGCTGATTGAGATTGGATGAATTGATTTATAAAGTTTTATTAAATTTACCTTTAGCATTAAACATATACTTCTAGAAATAATTTTTCTCTTTTGATTAAGATTTTTATATAATACTATTAAGATAAGATTTTTGTTTACTTTTTGAGTAAACTACCAAACATAGAAGAGAGACAGATTTTGTTTGTTTTATGGTGTCTTTATTAGGTCTTATGATTCTTAGGGAAACTGTGCCTCCTCTCTATTGAAGAGGAAAATTTTTTGCTTTTTAAAATCCTTAAATTATTATTTTGGCTAAATAAATCACTGTTATTTTACACTGACCTGTGATGCTGTTTTCAACTTGTGTTTTAAATGTTTGATATTGGCCGGGCGCGGTGGCTCAAGCCTGTAATCCCAGCACTTTGGGAGGCCGAGGCGGGCGGATCACAAGGTCAGGAGATCGAGACCACAGTGAAACCCCGTCTCTACTAAAAATACAAAAAATTAGCCGGGCGCGGTGGCGGGCCCCTGTAGTCCCAGCTACTCAGGAGGCTGAGGCAGGAGAATGGCGGGAACCCGGGAGGCGGAGCTTGCAGTGAGCCGAGATCGCTCCACTGCACTCCAGCCTGGGCAACAGCGTGAGACTCCGTCTCAAAAAAAAAAAAAAAAAAAAAGTTTGATATTTGACAAACTTTCATATAAAAATTTTTATTATTTTTAGTATTTTCAATCTCAAACTAACTTTTGGATATTAGGCTTCCTGTCTAAGAGAGACATATTAGGCTTATTTGGTATGTAAAAATTATACAGAAAGAATTGTCAAATATGAAATGGTGTTTAACTTTTTGGCTTATATTTGTATACATATGTTATTAACATGTATAAAATGTTATGAGTTATATAAAATTTTGGTATTTCTGAGTTTGTGTTAGACATAATAATTATGATTATTATGTTAAGTTGTATGGCACAGAAATAATCATTTTCTTGTCAATTGTGTCTTTAACCAGGGCTATTCTATGACTTTTGTCTCTCACAGGCAATTATTTTTATACTCTGATTCTTCTCAACAAATGATTTATAATCAACTGCAGTCCAAAATTTGCTACTACCTTAATTATGAGACTACTTTAATTCATGAGAAGGACTCTGACAAGTACTGCTGAATATAGGTTTCAAATAACTTTGGAAATCATATAATTCATCCAGGAAAAAAATTCTTCTAGGCCTCTGATTAAAAAGCTGTTGTGTTCATGAGGTTTGCTCACCCAACATCAAATGTAACAAGAATTAATGGCATGAGAATAAACTAATAGTGAACTGAAATATTTTTGGGGAACTGTTTTTCTTTGAAAAATCGGTGATTTTTTTCACTTTTGTTTTCCAGAATCATTTTTTTTTTTTTTCTTTTTGAGTCATTAATGGCTTATAGCAGTTGGGTAAAGTATACTTTTGTGAGTAAAACTAACACATTTGCCTTTCTCACTACCAGATTTCTCCAAAGTTTGCAAACTGTTCATGAGTAGTCGTGTTTTATGGTGATATAGTTGTTTGCATAAGTTTAATAAGAATCTGTTTTCTTTTGTAACAGAACATAGTTAGATACACTTGTAATTTTACTGAGGCTTTAACTGGAATGGCATATTTTCAAATATGACCAGAGTGTTTTGGGGAATGCAGGTTGACTTTACAGAGCCAATAAACAACCTGTACCTTGTCTACATGGTTCCTTTACAAAATTTCTATCCTTGCAGTAGGTAAAGAATGTTATCTTCTGACAGGCCCAGGATGCTAAAGTTATTCTGGAACCTCAAGAAGATAGGAATTCACCCAATTCACACAAGTATTGCAGACATTCTGATGAAAAGTCTTTTACTTGGTTAGCCTAAAGGGTTTTAAAAGTCTCATCTGAAATTTCTTATGAAAGACGTCCCAGCAAAGCCAACTTTAAAAGAACCTGTATGCCCATTCTGTACTCTTGTTGCACTTTATGCAAATAAGCAGGCCAAATGTAATAAGAGTGAAACTTGTTTTGCAGATAAATTGGTCCTGCTAAGATTATCTTTGATGAAAATGGAGAATTGGAAAAAGAAAAAAGGTATGTTTCAGAAGAAAATTATAGTACATCTATTATTAGCTTATAGCCTTGTTATTTTTGCGTTTTATTATTTGCGTACAATTTGGAGTAGATGCTGAATCACTTCTTGGCAACAACAAATCTCTATAAAAGAACCCAGTTTAATTTTCTTTATAAAATAACCCAGTTTTAGTTGACGCCCTGACTAAATAGATTTTGTTGATGTTGTTGTGGCACACAAATCCTCTTTTGATTGTGCATTATGTTTCTACTACTTAATTTTTAAATGTTATTTCTCGTTGTTTTACTTCTGAAAAAGCTAAATTCATACTACTCTAATGACTAGGTATAATTCAACAACTGACAGCAGCCATAGATCAATGACTTTGACAGCACTACTCAGCAATGAATCTTCCCAGCGATGACAGACATTTTGACACTCAACTTTTCATCATCAGTTCTTTCAAGAATAAAGATTTTAGATCAAAAAAGGGAAATGAGAAAAGAAAAGAGCTTTTATCTGAGGAAGGCAAGTTCTATTAGTTATCAGGACCAGACAATAAGATGAGACAGAAATCTCATCCTACTCTCCACTTTGAGTTACCTATTCCTCTCTTCAAACTGCTTGCTATTGTTACAAGTAGCTATAGATTAACCTAATAATGCCACACAGGACACTATAACCTATACCCTGTAGCTTAAGACTGTATAGCCAATCACTAATAAGTGTTATTTCTATAAACCAATGAGATTTCCTGACAAACAACTTTCTATCAGCCCACTCACTGTCCCCCATTTTTTTGCCTTTAAAAATCTGCTTGTAACTGCTGCTAATAGCAGTGTGTATTCAGGGCAACTTGAATCTATTCTCCCTGGTTGCATTTCTCAAGTTTGGCCCAAATAAACTCTCTACTTATATTAATTTTGCCTCAGCTTCTCTGTTTTAGGTCAACAGGCCAATTTTCTGAAGGGCCTTGGGAAATTAATTGATTTTTCAGTGTCTTTAGCTTTTTTTTCCTTGTTGCAAGATGGGATTAATGACTTCCAAGCTTTTTATGTGTTACAACTGAAACCAGAAGCCTAACCTTTTAAATATATGCAGTATTATGCAGAATATTTATTCACCTGGATTCTACATCAAACCAAAATTGAAAAGTGAACTATAATTTTTATTTTCTGTCAATCTATTTTTCTTGTATTTTCTACTGACTGAATAAAACAAAGTGTGTTTCTCCAATGAGAGTTTTCTACATAGACTGGTCTGTACAATACCATCTTTATATTTTGGCAATATTCGCAAATTATTTGGATAGGCTTTTTATTTTGGAAGATTGTCTCCACTCATTCTCTACTACTGTTCCCAAGTTTGGAGTTATAGATAAAATTATTCTCTTTGGGCTTCCCATGAATGCAATGGATATCTTTATTTTGTGGAATTGGGGAACAGATACATAGCGCCTCTATATTTCTTTTTTAAAGCACGTACTTTTCATTTAAGATATACAGAAATTACCACGATTAGTTCCATTGTAATGTAATTACTTATTAAAGATTATAAGTAAGAATATGGGATATACTCATGGAAAGATATTTAGAGAAAGGAAAACTAGAAAAAGAGATTGTAAGTTTATACAATAAATAATATGCAAAATAGTTTGAGAATAGCTTAATAATTTATATGTAGTGTCACCGTGTTAGTCATTTCCATTCATTTAACTATTCACATGTACATTGTTGCAGATATTCTTTATTATTCCATCATCATCTCAATTAAACCTCTTGGGTATAGTGTTTGAGTGCTACTGTGACCATAAATTCCAACAAAACCTAGGAAAAAATGAAACTACTAATAACTGAAAGGGTAAGCAATAAGAATAATATTTTCTAACTTCCTTGAATAAGAAGAATCTTGGTGATGATTTTTATTTATTAATTCCGGAGAGAAAGGAACAAGCTAGTGAGTCAGGAGAAAGAATTAAAGCTTATTAAGTTCACTTATTTCAATTATGAGGAACAGAAAGTTAATAAAACTGAATAGGTGAGTGGCTAATTGTTATGGAGAACAAATATTGAAATCTTTTAAATATGATTTTTTCAAAGTTAAATGGCATAAAATTTGAGAATATCAATACCTTATATGAGTACCAGCATTAATGAGTCCAGTTTACTTCCTTAAGCTTTAGCAAGTTCAGGTCATATATTTTTCAGACAGAAAGGATGTTATAAGCCCTTCCTTCTGCTGTGTTCTCATAAATCTCTCTAATGCTAGACCTAGGCCTGTATTGAGTGGAAAGCTCAATGTAGACTTCAGAGTTTCCTAAAGAGAAAAGTTCAGGACTTGGCAACCAAGCCTCTAAGTTGCATTTGAGCAGGATAGTGTCAAATGCAGAAGGTGATCTTTTTCCAATCCTGAGAACAAAGGTGCTAAGTAGTCCCAGGTTCTACATTCCTAGAAGTGCCAGCTTTGGGATCAGTTACCTTCAGTTGCTGTGAGGTGACATCTCCCCCACCAAAAATAGTAACATGACTCAGAAGAAGAGGAAGTCTCATTCTTCAAGAGGCCAAGGTTCTTGGAATTGGGGAAGAGAACACTTCCCCAGACTTAAGAATGAGATGCTTTAGGGCATCCATGTGCCTACAAGAAAAAATTCCTTAGATGACTAGCTGCTTTGCTATCAGAATTGCTGATGTCTCCCCATATTGCTGAATTAGGGAAGACAACATTGGAGAAGACTTGTATAGTGGATTCTGCTCAGAAGGGAGTAGTCCTCAACCACTATGTTCATTATTTATCTTAACAACCCCTGACTTCTCTCTTCTTGGTTTTTGATAGGTCAGGTGGATCCCACATATACCTGCAGTCCATGCATTGATAGTGAATAATACATGAGAGTTGAAGCTCCAGTTATGTAAATCAAAAGAATGCGACAGGAGACAAACTTATGCTTCCAGGAAAACGGAGTAGACGTACTTCTCCCAATTCTTTCTACTAAATACAGCTAAAAGCCTGGGCATTAAATATAAAATAAATGCAAAAATACCATGAATCTTGGAGAGAAGAAAGCAGACCAAGTAGGTACTTTGGAGCAAAAAGCAACACATTGGTGAGTTCCCTAGGTTTTAGTTTTTGTCTTATATATACCAGTCTAGATGCTGGTGAAGCCAGAATTCCAGAAGTACCAACATGTTTAGATGAAGGATGTCCTAACAAAAGCTCTTTCTCTCTTATGTAAGGAGTACTAGAGGGACAGCCTAATAAGAGAGAATGTTTAGAAAATAGTGACTACTTCAACCAAAAACCATGGAAAGAATTATGGTCCCACCCCACCCTTGTCAGCAAACGTGAGTGGGGAGCCTAGATTCTACTTTTTCAAGGCTGTAGCAAAGCGTCCCAACCGTCCTGTTAGGGTGGTGTCAGATAAGGCCGTCTCTGCCTGGCATTAATGAGCCCCTTCCCCCTTTCCCACAGGATCAGGGTATGTGAAAAGTTCTACCTTTTCACATAGGGGGACTTCTACCCCCACCTGGCAATAATGAGGTACCCTTTCACTTTCCCAATGAGGTAGTTTCAGAAGAGACCTACTGGAAATATTTTTGCAACTTCCCAGCAGTAAGGCAGTCACATCTCTCCCATGATGTCAGTTGTGACAAATTATGGAGCACTAAGGAAGCACTCCAGCCCATACCAGCCAGGAAGGTGTAAGTGAAGGCTCAGTAAGACACCAGAATTTCCACTTCTACTCAGCAATAACAAAGAGTTTTCCCCATCAGGTGTTAGTGAAAGTTTATAGGGAACCTGGACTTCTCTACCCAATTGGCAGTAATGAGGTGGTACCTCCTCTTCTCACCCCAGATTGGTGTCAGAGGAAGACATGGTGTCAGAGGAAGACAACCAAACCAGCAAGTGTAAATAAGATCTAAAATGTAATAAAAATGTACAAAATGTTCAGGTTTTAATGAAAAATTTACTAATCATTATCAAGAACCAGGAAAGAAATTGAATGAAAAAAGATAATCAACAGATGTCAACATTGAAAGACAGAAATATTAGATTATCTGATAGTTTAAAGCAGCCATCATAAAAATGTTTCAATGAGCATTTGCAAGCACATTTGAAAAAATGAAAAATATAGAAAGTCTCAGAAAAAAATAGAAGAGATAATAACCAAATATTTTATTTTATTTTATCTTATTTATTTATTTATTTATTTGGAGATGGAGTTTTGCTCTTGTTGCCCAGGCTGGAATGCAATGGTGTGATCTCAGCTCACTGCAACCTCTGCCTCCTGAGTTCAAGCAAATCTCCTGCCTCAGCCTCCCGAGTAGCTGGGATTACCGGCATGTGCCACCACTTCCAGCTAATTTTGTATTTTTAGTAGAGAGTGGGTTTCACCATGTTGGTCAGGCTGGTCTCAAACTCCTGACCTTAGGAGATCCACCCACCTTGGCCTCCCAAAGTGCTGGGATTACAGGTGTGAGCCACCGTGCCTGGCCATATTTTATTTTATATTATTATTTTTGAGACAGAGTCTTGCTGTGTCACCCAGGCTGGAGTATAGTGGTGCGACCATGGCTTACTGCATCCTTGATTTCCCAGGCTCAAGTGATCCTCCTATCTCAGCCTTCCAAGTAGCTGGGATCACAGGCATGCACCACCACGCTGGCTCATTTTAAAATTTTTTTGTAGAGACAGGATCTCCCTATGTTGCTCAGACTAACCTCAAACTCCTGGACTCAAGTGACCCTTTCTCCTTGACTTTCCAAATGTCAGGATTGCAGGTGTAAGCCACCATTCTCAGCCCCACATAATATTCTTCAACTGAAAATCTACAATAACAGAAGTAAAAACTAAATGGACGGGCTGAACAGCAGAATAGAGAGGACAGAGGAAAAAAAAACCAATGAAATTGAGGATAGAACAATAGACATTACACAATCTGAACAATAAGGAAATTAGACTGAAAAAAAAAATGAACAGAGCCTCAGAGACCTGGGAGACTAAAACAAAAGGTATAACTTATGTATCATTGAAGTTCTGGAAGGAGAGGAGCCAAAAAGTAGAGCTGATAAAATACTTGAAGAAATAATGGCTGAAAACTTCCAAAATCTGACAAAAGCAAAGTACTGTAGATTCCAGAAGCTGAGTGCATATCAAATAAGATAAACTCAAGGAATCCACACAAACACATTAGCTTCTGAAAAATAAAAACAGAAAAAATTTTGAAATTAGCAAGAGAGAAAAAATATGGGGGAAAATGACGCAAATGGCATGAGATTTCTTATCAGAAACTATGAAGGTCAGGAGGCTGTGACACAATATTTTTCAAGTGCTGAAAGGAAAGAACTTTCAGTCCAGAATCCAACATTAAGTGGAGCTATCCTTCAAGAATGAAGGGGACACCAATACATTCTCAGATAAAGAAAAAATTAGAGAATTTGTCATCAGGAGACCTACCCTAAAAGAATGGTTAAAGAAAATTCTCTAAACAGAAAAAAAACAATAACAAATGAAATATAAAATCAAGGAGGAAAAAGGAAATGGCAACAAAAATGGCAAAATTTAATGCACTTTCCCTTCTAAATTATGCTTGTTGGTTGAAGACAAATTATAATATTTTCTGATGTAGTTCTCAATATATGTATAGGAAATATTTAAAACAATTTTAAATGGGGAGGATAAATAATTTAAAGAGGGGTAAGTTTTTAATACTTCACTCATACACCAATATACATTTGACACTAGTTTTTTATAATGTAATACCTAGTGCAACTACTAAAAATTATGTAAAAAGAAATACACTTAAAAACATTGCAGTTAAATTAAAGTAAAATTCTAAAAAGGGTGATCAAACTAAACAACTAAACATACTTCTAGCATATAACCCAGCAGCCATACTCCTTGGTATTTACCCAAATGAAATAAAAACTTATGTCCACTCAAGAACCTGCACATGGATGTTTATTTATAATTGCCCAAACTTAGAAGCAACCAAGATGTTTTCTAGAAGGTGAATGGATAAACAGCAACAAATTCATACAATAAAATATTATTCAGCATTATAAGCCATCAAGCCGTGAAAAATATGGAGAACCTTATACAGTATATTACCAAGTAAAATAAGCTAAATTGAAAAAAGTAGGTACTGTATACCTTAACTATATAATGTCTGGAAAAGGAAAAACTATTTAGCAGTGAGAAAAAATCATTGGTTGCCAGGGATTAAGGGAGAGTGTTGTTCAAGGGTCAACTATATATAAAAAGTTTTACAACATGTCCAAGTGGGATTACTCCAGGGATGTAAGGCTTGTTAAATATTTTAAAATTATTTAACAAAATACACGATATTAACAAGCTAAAGTAGAAGTATTACATGATTATATCACAATCAATGCAAAAACATTGATGAAACTCAGTACCTAGTCATGATTTTACAAACTCTTTGAAAAATAGAAATAAATGGAACTTCCTCATCTTTATAAAGGGCATCTATAAAATACTTATGGGAAACATAATACATAGTGGTGGAAACTCAATGCTTTTTTTTCTAAAATTGAGGTTTAACACCATATGGTTACTCTCATCATTCTCATTCAACATGGTGCTAGAAGTTCTAGCCAGTGCAATAAGGCAAAAATCTCAGTGCATCTACATAAAAGGTCCTAGAAATAATAGGTAAATTCAGCATGGTGACAGGATACAAGACAAATATACAAAAATCAGTTATGTTTTTAAATACTACCAATAAACAAATAGACATTGAAATTAAATATTGATTTCATTTATGCTTGTTCTAAAAATCAAATACTTAGGTGAAATTGAATAGCTCATGTAAAAGATTTTATGCTCTACAAAACACTGGTTAAGGAAATCAAGAAAGACCTAAATAAATGAGACATACTATGTTCACGGATTGAAAGACTCAACTTAGTAAGGATCTCAATTATCCTCAAATTGACATACAGAGTTAGTGCAATTGCTATCAAATCTCAGCATGTTTTTTAGATATAGACAATTATTCTACAATTTATATGGAGATATGTGGGTTCTAGAATAACAAAAATCATGATAAATAATATGGCAGGAAGAATCATTTCATTCAATTTGAAGAGTAATTATACAGCTGTCTTTCTCTATAAAATACAATGTATATACAATATATTGTATACAATAACCATGACTGTGTGATATTGGCAGATAAGACACATCGATTAGTGGGACAAAGTAAGGACCCAGAAATAAACACACGCAAACATGCCCAACTGATTTTTGACAAGGTGGAAAAACACAAAGGTGTAGAAAAGACAGCCTTTCAACAAATATAGCTGGAGCAATTGGACATCCATAGGCAGAAATATAAACTTTCAGCTATATTTCATATCATATAGAAAAATCAAGTAATGAATATCAATGTATAAATAAATATATAGTTCATATACATCTCTAGTTTAAAAATATAAAAGTTTTACAGAAAAACTTCAGAGAAAATTTTCAAGATCTAGGGGTAGGCAAAGAGTTCTAAGACTTAACACAAAAAGCATGGTCTATTAATATAAATTGGTAAAGTGTAGTTAGTCAAAATTAAAAATTCTTGCTCTGCAAAGTACCCTTCAACAGGATGAAAAACAAGCTACAGACTGGGAGAAAACATTTGCAAATGGTATTTTGCAAAAGGAATTAATATCTAGAATATATAAGGAACTTAAAAATTCAACCATAGAAACAAAATAATCTGATTAGAAAATGGGTAAAAAAATGGAGATATTTTATAAAACAGGATATAAAAATGGTGGATACACATGAAAAGATGTACAATCTCATGAATGAGTTAAAAAATGTACATCAAAACCACAATGAGATAACATCACATATCAGAATCATTAAAAGTAAGTGACAAAACCAAGTGCTAGTGAGCAGGCAGAGGAACTAGATTATGCCTATACTGCTTGTGGCAATATAAAAATAATACAGCTCCTCTGATAGTGATTTTGACAGTTTCCTAAGTAACCAAACATGGAGCTACCATATGACTCAGCAATTACACTTCTTAGCATTTATCCTGGAGAAATTAAATTTTGTAATCACAGAGAAACAAAAGCTTATAGCAGCTTTATTTGTAAGAGCCCAAAATAGAAATGACTCAGATGTCCTTCAGCTTGCGAATGGTTAATCAGTGGTTTGCATGGAGTACTATTCAGTAATAAAAAGAAATGAAGTATTGATACATGCAAAATTTGGATGTAGCTCTACAGAATTATTCTGAGTAAAAAGTTATTCCTGAATTGTTACATGATATGCAATTCAATTTATATAATATTATTTTAATTAACATCTTTATACAAAATCCATAAAACACAAAATTCACCCACCTGAAGTACAGAATTCAACAGTTTTAGTATAGCACAGAGTTGTGCAACCATCACCAAAATCTAAATTTAGATTATTTTCATCCCTTCATAAAGAAACTGTGGAAGGCACCAAATTGAAATTCTTTTTCACAATTTCATGGGTAGAACATTTGTTCTTATCATAGACCTTAGCAGCCTCAGCTTATGATTTATTTTCTTTCCTTATTAAGTGGAGAATTTTCACCTTTTTACTTGAAGGAAGCATGTGACAGCTTCGCTTGGGCATATCAGAATTGCCAGCATCACTACTCTTGCACTTTGGGGCCATTATTAAGTGAAATAAGGATTACTTGAACACAAGCACTGCGATACTGCTACAGTCAATGTGATAACGCAGCTGGTGACTAAGTGACCAAGGATGGGGAGCTTCTACAGCGGGGAGACTCTGGAAAAAGGGAGGATTCACATCCAGTGGCATTGGGACAGGACAGAGTGAGAGTTCATCATGCTACACAGAACAGCATACAATGTAAGTCTTGTGAGTGGATTATCTCTGGAATTTTCTATTGACTACATTTGTACTACAGTTGTATGTGGGTAACAAACTGGAAAGTGAAACCTGGGATAAGGGGGAGGCTACCGCAGATAGCCCAGTATTTCTCATTTTGTGGATTTGTTTATCTTTCTGCTCACATTCTTTTCCTTCTGCATTACCATTTTAGTAAAAATAGATAGCATCTATTTGGTGTTTAGTATGTTTCTGGCACAGTCGAACATTTTACAAACATTATATCATTTAATCTGCATAAAACGTATACAGTACGTACAACTATTATCCAGTTTTTAGACAAGGCAAACTGGATCACAGGGAGTTTAAAACACTTCTTCCCTTGGTCAAGTTGGGTCACGTAATTGTCAAAGTTAGCAAAGACTTGGAATCAACCCAAATGTCCATCAGTGACAGACTGGATTAAGAAAATGTGGCACATATACACCATGGAATATTATGCAGCCATAAAAAAGGATGAGTTTGTGTCCTTTGTAGGGACATGGATGAAGCTGGAAACCATCATTCTCAGCAAACTATTGCAAGAACAGAAAACCAAGCACCACATGTTCTCATTCATAGGTGGGAACTGAACAATGAGATTACTTGGACTCGGGAAGGGGAACATCACACACCAGGGCCTATTATGGGGAGGGGGGAGGGGGAAGGGATTGCATTGGGAGTTATACCTGATGTAAAGGACAAGTTGATGGGTGCTGACGAGTTGATGGGTGCAGCACACCAACATGGCACAAGTATACATATGTAACAAACCTGCACGTTATGCACATGTACCCTAGAACTTAAAGTATAATAATAACAATAAAAAAACAACTTATTCATAAAAAACAAAACAAAACAAAAAACATGCCACTTAGGGGATGATTTGAAATTCTCTAATTTTTTAGAAGAATCTTTAGTTTTCCCAGGATAGAACATTTATTGATATGGTAAATATGTGGAAAGACCCACAAGCCCCACTCCAATCCTACATTCTTGCCATTAAAAAATAAACACAAAGACTGTTCTCTGTATTTTTTTTTCTTTAAAAAGTATTCTAGGAGACACAATGACATGCATTCTAACAAATATGTAGAATAAATTGAATTTGAGATATTTTATAAAATTGTAAGATATGTAACAATATGCACCTTAGTCTAGGACACAAGCCCAAAAAGGTAAAAAATAATGAAGAAAGACTACTCAGAAGCTAATCCATTTTCTTATTTTAGGAGATAGATGAAAGGGGAAAATTTTAATGTGGGGTAATCTCTATTCGATAATCACAATGTGGTTTCTGAAGAGATGTGTTGGCCTTTAGTAATGCTAAAATTACAAATGCAGATTTAAAGCCCTCTGCATTTTATCCACTTTTAAATTTACATAAAAAAGCAAGTGCAAGATTATTGGAAAAGCGTCTATGATTGTTATCACAACAGCAAGGGTAGTTGGAGTGTGATACAATGATAAGAAGGGAAGAGGTTAAATTGCCACTATTAAAGTCTATGCCCATTATTGAAGCCAATCCAATATTAACTTTGTGTTTAACAAAATGAAAATTAAGATGCTACTCTCAGAGAAACCTTGGGGAATATCTACAACATGTTCACCTCTTTAAAAATTCACTTGTCTGTATAGCTTTCTCTTAAAATCTCATTTAATGTGCTTAGGTATACAACCAGTACAACATATTATAATGGTGTAGAATTTAGTAAGGAATGTATAGTGAGTATTTCCTTACAATTCACCTGCCTTGGAGCTCAAATAAGTTTTTAAAATTAGATTCTGAAATAATGCCATGGAGAAAGCTAGAACCAAGGCCATCTAGATGAACCTACAACAATTTCCACTTCTACTTAGGAGGTAGAAGCAAAAGGCATCTACCCTTGGGGAAAGTTCAAGAAAATTGTTGAGGGCCAGCATCCTACACTAACACAAAGCAGAAGTCTGCTTCTGCTGGGGTTGAAACAGAAAACACACACTTCTGTCCAAAACTCCCCATAGATATAAGGCAGAGTTTATATTCAAACAACAAAATTAAGAACACAGTAAATGTCTTTTCAGAAACTATGTAAAGCAGAAGACAACAAAGTAACATATTTAAGGGACTAAAAATAATCCTATCAACCCAGATCTCTGAACTCAGAAAAAAGTATTTTAAATATTGAGACAAGGAAATACTTTTCTGCCTCATCAAAGCTGATAAAATTCATTGCTAGCAGACTACACAAGAGTATATATTAAAGAAAGTTATTAGGTGAAAAGTAAGATATTAATGGCAAAAACTATAATAAATATAAATGACAACTTTTCTACTTTTAATGTCTTTATAAGATAACTATGTAAAGCAAAAATTAGTAACAATGTATTATGGGGTTTACAGCATATGTAGAAGTAAATATATGCCAGAAATATCACAAGTGATGGAATTGAGGAAATATAAATATAATGTTGATATGTAAATAGCAAATAAGCCATGTTGAGATGCCCAAAAGCATTTGTTATTAGAAAAATACAGATTAAAACCACAATAAGATACCACAGTACACCCACTGGAAAGGTTAAAATTGAAAAGACTGACAATAGCAAGACTGGTGAGGATGCAGAGACAGTAAAATTCATATATTGCTGATGAGATGCCAGCAACTTTGCAAACCAGTTTGCCGACTCTTATAAAGTTAAACGTACACTTAGGATATAAACCAACAATTCTGTTTCTAGGTCTTTCCCCAAGAAGAAAAAAATTTCTATGCAGAGCTCTATGTGAATCTTTACAGCAGGTTTACTCATAATCAACAACCACTAAACACCACTCAAATGTCCTTCAATTGGTGAATGAAAAACCAATTATGGTACATCCATTCAATGGAACATTACTTGCCAATAAAAAGGAACAAATTACTGATGCATTCAGCAACATGAGTAGATTTCAAAGCATTTTGTTGACTAAAATATGTCAGACACACAGGCTATATATGGTGTCATCTTGTTTACATTACTGGGAAAAAGCAAAACTCTATTGTCAGAAATATAATCAGTGGTTATCACAGGCTGGGATGGGGCAGAGGTTGACTGCATGGAAGCCCTAGAGGCATAGAAATGCTGTATCTCTTTGTTGTGGTGGTGGTTACATGACTGTATTCATGTGTCAAAACTCATCTGTACTTAGAAAGGGTGACTTTTGTTGTATATAAGTTATACCTCAATGAACCAGACTGAGAAAAAAAATAAGCCTTCAATATAATTTGGCCTATGCTCTAAGGCAGTGCCTTTTGATCCCCTAATATATGCCAGTATCATAGGTCAAAAGTTGTTCTCGTATGACCAGCTTATTTCCTCAATGACTCAACTTGGCTTCCCCAGTCTCCACCAAGTCATCCTGAACAATATGCAGTTAAAAAATTCAAGGCGTAATGAGTCGAGAATGCGCCACTGCACTCCAGCCTGGGTGACAGAGCAAGACTTTGTCTCAAAAAAAAACCAAAAACCAAAAAACAGAAAACAAAAAACAAGGCATTTCTCTCAATCAGATCTGCCACACTAATTCTACCTGAATTTCAATCCTGAAAACTGACACTGACCCACTTTGACTCCTTTCCTCAGATACGGATTTTCAACAACCCCTAGTAAGATCCTCATTGCATAAACTACCATGCATGGCTCCATGGCTCCACATGTTTTCATTCTGCAAATTTGTTATTCTGTATGTTACACCCATGCCTAAGTGAAGGGATGACTCCAGCACAAGAGAAAGAAAAAGAGGCCAATACTTTTGGCTTAAAACCCGATATCGACAAAAAAATGTGGAAAGATATGTGATGAATAAAGCCAGACTGTTTTTCTCAAAATGTTAATCCCAACTTCCTATTCCAAGACTAGATACAGGTTCTTTGGGTGAAGGGAAGGATGAACCAAGGAGAAAGTGAAGAAAGCTTACAAGCAACTTGCCTAAGAAGGGGCATCCTCCCTCCATCATTAGAATCTAAGACAGAGAGGAGATCTGCGTCCCCTTCCCCTGGCTAGCACTCTAATATCCAGCAAGGTCTCAAAGATTTCCCATAGCCACAAAGTTGTAGGAAGAAAAAAATATTTACATAGTATGTTTAGGGAGATTGTCCCCAAATCAGTATAGGAGCAGGGGAATATCTTCCATGGGCCCTAGAGTGGCTCAAACTTGTCATGGTGAGTCAATAGTGGTGCAGAGAGGTAATAGTCAGGATAGAAAAGTCCCAGCATGATCAAATAGCCAAAGACCAGAAGGGAGAAGGGTATGCTGGTGACTGTCAGCCCATAGATGGCACAAAAACATCAATGGATTCCACGGTATTTCCCCCACTTCCAATCTGAGGTCTTGGCATCACATAAACCCACATAACATAGTATCATCCTAGAGAAAGTGATGGGGCAGGACCCTAATTTAAGGTTAAGCTTCAATCATTCAGTTAATAAGACCTCTCAAATGCAAATTGTGTTGCTGGAGGAATGTGAGAAAAAATTTCCTTTATAGCATACATGAGTATGTAGACTGAACTTTTTACTTATACTAAATTCTTAATTAAGAGTAAGAATCTGAACTACAATGTAAGCACATACTGATTTCTTTTAATTTCAAGAATTTTCAACAGAATGTCTGAAAATTTTTCATTTATATTGAGTCTTACAGGCACCCTATTTAAAAAACTTTTATAGACAGATCTGCATGATTACCATCGAGACTCAAAGAAGTTATAAAACCTCTTAACTTTTTCAGGCCCTTAAAATTAGCTTAAGACAGTGAGTCATTTCCAGTGTCTTTACTAGATCTCGTTAAGTCATTTCTAGTTTCTTTACTAGATCTCATTTTTTGATAAGCACAGTTGCCATCTCATTTTATGTGCTTTAAAAATACAGTTTAAATAAAGAAAAATCATTTAGAAGTCATATATGTAGTTTTCTTCTCTAAAGTTTATTTCATCAAAGTTATAATTAATTTTCTGAAAGTT